TAAAAGTAGCTCTCTGATTGAAAATGGTTGGAGGCCCCTGATCTATACTATACTCGACCATACTATCATTAGTTGCGGTGACTTTTGAAGTGACTAAAAAACAAAAACAAAGTATGGTGTTCTCTTCTGCTTGGTACAGTGTGTGAGAGCGGCACTCACAGAACAAAGTGTGTCGTTGATTCTGATGAACCATTAGCCTTTTCTCAAGCTTCTGTCAGTGCAGGAGGGGAAAGATATGGGCATTTTATGGTATGTGTGATTTTTATTTTGGCAGGGACAGTGTACAATAAACATGAGCCAAGAGGAGAGATGCATTGTATCTGGTTGTAGCAGCAGTGCTAGTTTGCTAATTTACACCTGTTACACCTGTTGTAGCAGCAGTGCTAGTTTACATCTGTATTCCCTGAGCAGGTTAACTTGTAAAACAGTAAAGGGTAAATGGATACATTACCACACATTATCAGACAAAAATTACTATTTCATTTACCACGAGTTATAATAAAATAAAACCACCCAGCCCCCATTCTTAGACAGACGGACGGACCTCATTAATTAGCAGCTGTCTGCTAATTACAATGCATGCTAAAGTAACAGCCAATAAGATGTTTGGGATTCATGTTCATGTATAATGCAACAGTGTCTTTAAATATTTGTGACATGTTTGTTCCATAACGTGGCTCTCTCTGGCAGCATTTTAGATTTCACATCAAGTAAATGACCTCCTTGTGGCTCAGACTTCTCCTGTGCTCTCTCCCCTTCTTGTACTTTGCGGTTTACTCTACAAACAAGCAGTGCATATTTATAGACACATGAAAGGGCGCCCATTGCAGTGGCTTCATCAGAAAAGCCACAAATTGAGATCCGTGCTCCTCGCAGAAGTAGCGGAGATTATGCCCAGAAAGACATCTTCTAAATACAGAGGACAACGTGCCTATCCTCCGGCACGCCCCTGGGATCCTGCATGTTTTTCAGTGTCTGGCCACACAGTGTATTTTTACAGCACACGTTTATCCTCCCAATGCTGTATTTTTGGGTCATCCATCTGTCTGTCCGTCTTCTGGGAGGGACAAGGCTGTGGAGTCCGACCACTGGCCCGGTCTCCTGCTGCGTACCATGATGAGATAGTAAGTAAGTTGTGAGTACGTTTTATAGAGCATTTCACAGACCAAGGTACAGACTCAAAGGTACAGACCAAGGTACAGACCCAAAGCACTTTCCAATGTTCAGAGTCAGATATTGTTCCAATCCTTCCACACACGGTGATGACAGAAGCGAGTCCAGAACACACTGGACCATCAAAGCCTCTGACCCAACACCATCATTCACTCTCTCATTTACATTCAGACCTATTGTGCATGTTTTTAGTGCTAGGGGAAACCGGAACACCCGGAGGAAACCTACGCAGACACAGGGAGAACATGCAAACTCCACTCAGAAAGGCCCTGTTCCGACCGGGATTCAAACCCAGGACCTTCTTGCTGAGAAGCCAGAGTGCAGTGAAGTAATGCTCATTGTCTGCCATTAATTGACTCTCTTTCTTTCTGTATTAGTTGTTGTATCTAGAACTAAATATCTATGTGGATGGTTTGATGATCAAAAATGTCCAAGAAATCAAGTACCTACTGTAGGTGTAATGCTGAATCCTACCCTTCATTTTAAAAACCATGTTAAAAAGGTTTGCCGCGTTCTGAAATTTAACATCGCCAACTTCCAGCACATCAGGAGCTCTTTGTCATTGGAAGCAGCTAAATCATATCTTAATGCAATGATTATATCTCATATCATGTATTGTGTGTCTTCATGGTCTCAAGCTAAAACAACGGTTTTAAACCCCCTTAGATCGTTGTATAACCAGGCTCTGAAAGTCCTGGATAAAAAGCCTCGCCGGTACCATCACTGCAATATACTTGAAAAATACAGCATACTAAGCTTTGACAATCTGATTAGGTATTCCGATGTACGCTTGGTTCATAAGATTCTTAATGATACTGCCCCACCCCCCCTAAAAACATATGTACAGCTTCGCTCACAGCTAACCAACAGAGCATTAAGATCTGTGTCCAGGGGAGACTGCAATGTTCCTAAGAGAAAGTCTGCCGTCTCTCAATCAGCCTTTTCCTACAAAGCCACTAAAGAATGGAATGGGCTCCCAGACAATCTAAAGAACAATGCAGATTTCCACAGTTTTTCACGGGCAGTTAAAGACTGGCTTTTAGATCAACAGTCCTGCTCGCACTAAAAGTACCAGATGGATACTTGGCCATCAGGTATCGTCTGATGGCCACCACACTATTAGTGTTAAAAACTATTGTATCTATGTGCTAATTATGTATAGCTACAAAATAATTATGAAAACTGTTGCACTTTGTCATTCTGCACTTTATGAATGCAACTGGCACTTTTTATTTGCACTTTTTATCTGTCCTTTTACTGTATATTGCACAAATGTTTATTGTCTATGTTTTGTATTTTAATTAACTCTTATGTATTTTAATTGTATTTTTGATTGTTTAAGGACTACAGATGGAAATTAGCATTGTGCTAAATCTGGGGCAGCCATCTTTTTAATGTACCTGTCCGTTGTCCTTTTAAATAAATAACTAACTAACTAATAACTAAACAGTTATACAAAGTCTAATGGAGGGGGTTCAAAGGTTAATGGGAGGATTTTCCCAAATTCTAGGAAAGAACCGCCCTCTCCACATTTTGAACAAAACTCTTGCCTAAGGACACAACGGCAGCAGACATCAGTGGAGTCAGTAGAGGGGGTCCCGCGATAGGCTCGAACCCACAACCTTCAGGCTCAAAGGCTGTACCCACTGAGCCACTGTCACCTCTGCTCTTATTGGACGAGCACGTATCTCCAGTATGATTGACAACTGGGAGGACCAATAGTCTTGATGATCCACCCGGAAGTAGAAAGTCCTCCTATATACCTTTGAGTTAGGATTTGTAAAACTGTAGGACATAGCATTGGGCAGTCATGAAACGAGGTGTGACCAGGTGGACGTGTGACCAGGTGTGACCAGGTGGACGTGTGACCAGGTGTGACCAGGTGGACGTGTTGTTGGCCGTGCGCCTGAGAGAAGCTGTAAGAGCAGAGAGAGCAGAGAGAGAGCACAGAGAGAGCAGAGAGAGCAGAGAGAGAGCAGGGAGAGCAGAGAGAGCAGAGAGAGCAGAGAGAGAGAGCAGAGAGAGCAGAGAGAACAGAGAGAGCAGAGAGAGCAGGAAGAGCAGAGAGAGAGCAGAGAGAGCAGAGAGAGCAGAGAGAACAGAGAGAGCAGAGAGAGAACAGAGAGAGCAGAGAGAGCAGAGAGAGAGCAGAGAGAGAGCAGAGAGAACAGAAAGAGCAGAGAGAGCAGGAAGAGCAGAGAGAGAGCAGAGAGAACAGAGAGAGCAGAGAGAGCAGAGAGAGAGCAGAGAGAGAGCAGGAAGAGCAGAGAGAGCAGAGAGACCAGAGAGAGCAGAGAGAGCAGGGAGAGCAGAGAGAGAGCAGAGAGAGCAGAGAGAGCAGAGAGAACAGAGAGAGAGCAGAGAGAGCAGAGAGAGCAGGAAGAGCAGAGAGAGAGCAGAGAGAGAGCAGAGAGAGAGCAGAGAGAGAGCAGAGAGAACAGAGAGAGAACAGAGAGAGCAGAGAGAACAGAGAGAGCAGAGAGAGCAGAGAGAGCAGAGAGAGCAGAGAGAGCAGAGAGAGCAGAGAGAGAGAGCAGAGAGAGCAGAGAGAGAGCAGAGAGAGAGCAGAGAGAACAGAGAGAGAGAGCAGAGAGAGCAGAGAGAGAGCAGGGAGAGCAGGTGTGATCGGTGCATGATGGATACATGTTCAGTAAGTGGCACAGTGTGTCAGTATGTCTGCCCACTTTTTAGAGCTCAGTGGATTTGGCACAACCGACCTGTGGCTCAGCATAAAACATAGAACTTGTACACACACAAAATCCACCCCCAAACTACCCAGTTCTCACCATAATGAAAAATGCACCGGTTTATACAGGGCTTTTGGATATTAAGCTGAATTCATCATTTTAGCACATTACTTTTCCGCTTGAATGTTTTGGTAATCCCAAGGCCGTGGCAAATGCTGACTGGACTGTCTCTCCTATGATATCATCTGAATTCTGTGAAAATAGTTAAACATGTGTTCGGTCTGTCTTACACGATCCCGGACGTCACCTTCTTTTTGGACACTCAAAGACGCTTCACTCTTGCACTCCCTACACAGTGGTGATAAACTACAGCTGCCCTGGGGCACACTGACAGAAGCGAGGCAACCAACCTGTGCCATCGGCCCCTCCCACCACCACCAACCATTCACACACACACCAGACTCATTATAGGCCAGCGATCCTCAACCTTTTTGAGCCGTGGCAAACCTTTGTCATTGCAAAAAATCACATGACACACCACCAACTGAATTTGATGCATAATGAAACTCTACAGCCTTTATTAAAACATCTAAATCATTCTCATCAATGTGCATATAAGGAAAATCAAACACGCACAACAACAATCTAACCATCTCACATTATTTTCCTTTCACATAATTTGGACCAAGCAGGTGATATTGAATCATTTCCAAGGCACACTGGTTGAAAAATACTGTTCTCTAGACAATGTGGGTGAAGTGTCTTGCCTAAGGACACACTTTGTGGCAGCGGGTGTTTCCAGAGGTCTCCCATCACAGTGCTAACCAGGCCCTGCCCTGCACAGCTTCAGAGATCTGCAGGTATGACCACCACCACATCTGCACCACCCACACTAAACTCATTAACATCTCTCATATCGTATTGTGTATGTATCTGTCCTTTTGTCATACTGTGATAATCATGGTTTTTTCCAACATAAACAAACCTTGTTCAATACCGCCCAAAAACCCCTTTTTTCTATGATGTAGGTCAAAGAAACGGCAATATTTACAAATCTGGTCTGGTGCACAGCTTCTATGTCCCGCCACATGACTGCACCTCTTATGGAACAGGATCCTGCTTAAACAGCCTCCACAAACAATGGAAACTATTGGTCTGCCACCGGCACCACAGCTCCTGGCCGTAGACCCTCAGACCCTCAGACCTGGAGACCCTCAGACCCTCAGACCTGGAGACCCTCAGACCCTCAGATCCAGAGACCCGGAGACCCTCAGACCCTCAGATCCAGAGACCCGGAGACCCTCAGACCCTCAGATCCAGAGACCCGGAGACCCTCAGACCCTCAGATCCAGAGACCCGGAGACCCTCAGACCTGGAGACCCTCAGACCCTCAGACCCGGAGACCCTCAGACCCTCAGACCCTCAGACCCAGAGACCCGGAGACCCTCAGACCCTCAGACCTGGAGACCCCCAGACCCTCAGACCCTCAGACCCGGAGACCCTCAGACCCTCAGACCCAGAGACCCGGAGACCCTCAGACTCTCAGACCCTCAGACCTGGAGACCCTCAGACCCTCAGACCTGGAGACCCTCAGACCCTCAGACCTGGAGACCCTCAGACCCTCAGACCTGGAGACCCTCAGATCCTCAGACCTGGAGACCCTCAGACCCTCAGACCCTCAGACCTGGAGACCCTCAGACCCTCAGACCTGGAGACCCTCAGACCCGGAGACCCTCAGACCCTCAGACCCTCAGACCTGGAGACCCTCAGACCCTCAGACTCAGAGACCCTCAGACCCTCAGACCCAGAGACCCAGAGACCCTCAGACCCTCAGACCCTCAGACCCAGAGACCCTCAGACCCTCAGACCCGGAGACCCTCAGACCCGGAGACCCTCAGACCCTCAGACCTGGACCACGGATAAGGCTCTAATTTGAGCGTCTGTATTTTGTTGTTATTATTTTTTTAGATTACAGGTTTGCCAGGTGTAGTTTCAGTGATTTTTACAGTGTCAGTGGAGGATCTACACGAGGGGAGATAGAGAGGGCGACGACACAAGGACTACAACAGAGAAAAAGAAAAAATATTGTTGTATGTGTGTGTGTGTATATAAGTGTGTACCTGGCCTGCTCCTCGCTGAACGGCTCCGTGTGAATGTGTGTGTCCGCAATTCCGGACGTTCCGGAAGTCCGTTTACAATTGTAAACCGCTTTGTGACTCTGGTCTGTGAAAGGCGCTACATAAATAAAGATTACGTACTTGCTTAAATAAGGGGGGGGGGGGGGGGGGGGAGTTGTTTTTGAATGTTTTTTGGGGCTTCTCGAGACCCAGGACCCCAGCTCTTCCCCCTCTCCGTCCCAGCTCTACCGGGCACCGACCACACACTCCTCCTGTCCATCTGCTCTGCTGCATTTCTGGACCTATTCAGTGTTTCTCTTGCTTGTGTCGTGTGTGTGTTGCATTAAAAGAGATAGAGATGTTTTGAGACTCCTCCAGAACAAACACCCCACTACCATCTGGATTGTATAATTATTATGTTCAAATGAGCTTCACATTTGACTTTTCTGGTTTTTGCAGGTCACGAGCTGATGGCTGCAGACACCACTTCTCTCCACACATGAGTATTGGCATGTTAGGGCTGTTATTAGTGGTGTAAAAAAACACACCTTTTGAGGAATGTGTTCTGGTCTGCTCCTACCTCTGCATGTCTTTGGCCTGTTCTGCAGACTTTACCCTCTGCTGCTGCAACTCCAGTACATTTGGAACCAGGTCAGATCTAACCTGGGCTTAGCCATCTGTAAACTGGGGTTAATTATTAGTTTCCTACATGTACGTCTGCGTCTGATCCTAGTGGCTGTGGTTTCCTCGGTTGTATCTCATCCAACCAATCAGCAAGCGAGGGAGGCGGGTGTTGTACGGAGGTGTCGGTGACGTCAAGAGTTTGCGCCGAATTGGCTGGTTGTAGTTTGGCAATGACGGCGACTGCGATAGTGAAGTAATCTGTTCTGGTTCGGCTCCAAATATCAAGAAATTGAATGCCGAGGAATTTTTAGTAAATGTCATTGCTGCTCCGTTAGTGGCAAAAGAGCTGGCTAAAGCTAGGCTAAATGCTAAATGCCTCACTCACTCGGGCGCATTACATACATGACAATAAACTCAGATCCAATTGTTTCAATCTGCAAAAGAAGTTAGCCCTTTTAACGGAGTCAATGGAGCAAATCCAGACCTTAGTATGAAATGAAATGAGTACTATGGTATGTTAGGACCAGGCTGGAAGAGATCATTGCTTTACTTGAATCTCTGCTGTCATCGCTACATTAAGTTTACTTTTCCCATGACAGTGATATCATCTTTAGTCTTTTGGCAATAATCCTATAACCACGAGTGATCCATGAGATCTGAAATACTTAGCAGTTACTTATGAAAATACAATGTTAAGGATTAGAAGCGGTTGGAGACTCATTGAAGGTCGACATATGTGCAGCCTGGTCACGTCCGTCATCTTCAGTGAGGGACTGAGACAAAAAACAATTGCACATGAGCTGCAACATCATATTGCCGCGTCCATCCGTTTCATAAAGTAAAGTAGGCCACATATGCTCAGCCTAAATACAAAGCTGTATAATCTGGCTTTCAGCTGTTTATCTGTGTTTACGACATTCTAAATCGTTTACAGGATTGTGGAGCCGTGCTGGTGACAATGTTCATGACACCTCATCAGCAATGACATGTGCAGCGCAGACTGGAAGGTGCTCCACTGAAAGACTAATGGCACACTTACGTATCGAGCGAGGACAAGAGCGCCATTTCAAAAGCGTTGTTTTCGAACGCTCTTCTTTGAGTTCCCTTTACAGACGCGTTGCTTTGGAAAGGTGCTCCGCTCTGCAAAGACGGCCGTGAGCGGTGGGCGTCCTGTTCTGGAGGTTCTTTATGAATCCAGACTTTTAAACCAAGCTCTAAGAATAATCATTGACTCTTCTGGCGACCCTGGAGAAGCCTTGTTCCAGCTTCTTCCCTCTGGCAGAAGATGTCGTTCGGTGCAGGCTGGTCCCGTGCGAGTGGGCGGCGACCCGAGGTAGTTCATAAAGTCAGTAATTCACAAATACTATTAGATATACTCTCTATATATACTGTATAATGTATACTGTTATTGTTATATAGTAACACGCACACACACACACACACGCACAGACATGCACACACACAAACATGCACGCAAGCACGCACACATACACACGCACAGAAACACACACGCACACATGCACACACACGTACAGAAACACACACACACACAAACATGCACGCACACACACACACACACACACACACACACAGAAACACACACATGCACACACACATACACAAAAAAATACACACACGTACTGTACAGAAACACACACACAGACACACACGTACAGAAACACACACACACACGTACAGAAACACACGCACACACACGAACACACACGCACACGTACAGAAACACACACGCACACACACAAACACACACACGTACAGAAACACGCGCGCACACACACACACGTACAGAAACACGCGCACACAAACACACACACGCACGAACGCACACACACGACCACACACGTACAGAAACACACACACAAACACACACACACTCTGGTGTTTACTGATCACAATTGTCCTGTCTTGTCTCTTGTACTGTAATGTTGTAAAAAATTAATTCCAAAATTGTTTTACTGCAAATGGCAAATAAATGAATCTGAAACCCCGACAAGTGCCTGTGTGACCCCGAAGGCCCGTGTGACCCCGAAGGCCTGTGTGACCCCGAAGGCCTGTGTGACCCCGAAGGCCCGTGTGACCCCGAAGGACTGAGCCTGACTTCTAACCCACTGACACACAAAGCTAAGCTGTTTAACGCAGGGCGATACAGAAGAGGCTTGAAAGGGAAAGGAGTGACGCTGACGAGGAGATTTTAGATTAAACATTAGCTCTTTCTATCATCTGTCACCCGACGCTGGCCCTTCTTTGTCAGAGCAGAGGTTTGCGAATCCACCGGGGCGCCAAGCAACACAAAACACCTTTTCTTCACCACGCACCTCGGGGATAGTGAGTGAGATAATGCAGCTCCGTTTACCTGTTGGTTTTTATCAGAATATTCTGGGCTGTTTCGCTTGATCAGCACGAACTCCACAGATTGGCCTTCTTTATGATCTGTATGACAAGGACCTACTGCATTGATTTAAAGTGATAGTCTGTAACTCTAAATAAATGACAAATTTTAAGAATTGTAGTAAATTGACCTCCTGGCCTTAAATGTTGATATAAAATAAGTCATTTTATTAATTCTAATATTACAGACAAGTCCCGCCTTCCCTTCTCTTAGCTATAGCTGTGTTGCAGGTCCACACAGAACCGACAGGAGCCGAGCTGGAGAACAGAACTGCCCCCTTCAGCTCGTCATGTCCGGCTTAGAGGTAATATTTTAGGGACTTTTACCCGTTCAGAAGGGATTGTGTTTTAAATGCTTTGAATCATCTTTTGTTTTGGCAATGAAGGATTAACCATAACTTTAAAAATATTTCCCTCTAAAGCTAGTAATAAAATCTTTTCATTTGGATCAGTGGAGTACAGACGCAGAGGTAGGTCCACAGCGCCTTGGAAATGAGTGGATATTATCAGACAATACTTACAATAAACTGTTAATCTGATACTCATCACAAGAGTGTGTAAACAGGACATGTGGCGACGGTTCCTCTGCAAACACTCATCCTGTGGTTTGGTGGTTCAGCTGAAACAAACTAAGCTCCTAAATGTGATATACACAGCCTGTTCTAGTAACGGGAGCAGAGCCGGAGAATGAATCATCACTTCCCCTTTAATATCCACTCCTGGAAGAAAGCAATGTCACTTTTTTTCTTTTTGGGATTTTTTCTAAGATGTAGGAGCGCTAATGACACAAATAATGTTTTTTAACCTCTATTTTTAGTTTTATTAAAGGCCTTTACCAAATATTTCACACACAGTTTGATGGTAAAAGTGGCTAAAATCAAGTGTGATGCCTCAAACTTCAGTTTCACCGTTTAACTTTTTATATGTACAGTACCTTGCAAAAGTATTCGGCCCCCTTGAACCTTTCAACATTTTGCCACATTTCAGGCTTCAAACAGAAAAATATAAAATGTAATTTTTTTGTCATGAATCAACAACAAGTGGGACACAAACTTTTTTAACAAATAAAAAACTGAAAAGGGGGGCGTGCAATATTATTGGGCCCCTTTACTTTCAGTGCAGCAAACTCAGTCCAGAAGTTCAGTGAGGATCTTTGAATGATCCAATGTTGTCCTAAATGACTGATGATGATAAATAGAATGCACCTGTGTGTAATCAAGTCTCCGTATAAATGCACCTGCTCTTTGATAGTCTCAGGGTTCTGTTTAAAGCACAGAGAGAACCATGAAGACAAAGGAACACACCAGGCAGGTCCGAGATACTGTTGTGGAGAAGTTTAAAGCCGGATTTGGATACAAAAAGATTTCCCAAGCTTTAAACATCTCAAGGAGCACTGTGCAAGCAATTATATTGAAATGGAAGAAGTATCAGACCACTGCAAATCTACCAAGACCCGGCCGTCCCTCCAAACTTTCATCTCAAACAAGAAGACTGATCAGAGATGCAGCCAAGAGGCCCATGATCACTCTGGATGAACTGCAGATAACTACAGCTGAGGTGGGAGAGTCTGTCCATAGGACAACAATCAGTCGTGCACTACACAAATCTGGCCTTTATGAGTGGCAAGAAGAAAGCCATTTCTCAAAGACATCCATAAAAAGTCTCGTTTAAAGTTTGCCACAAGCCACCTGGGAGACACACCAAACATGTGGAAGAAGGTGCTCTGGTCAGATGAAACCAAAATCGAACTTTTTGGCCACAATGCAAAACGATATG